ACAAGCTGAGGCTATGGTTACCAAGTTGTCCCCAAACCAGGGCCAGTCAGCACTGCGGGAGACACCTGCAGAGCCCCTCCACACACCCCTGCACCAGGCCCTGCCCAGCAGAAGTGGCCATGCAGGGCTTGGGTGAAGCACCTCCAAACCAGTGTTTAGCACGTATGGTTTTCAGACAGGGTTGGCGAAAAGCACTCAGGGCCACCCGCCCCAGAGTCGGAGCCCAGGCCAGGATGCCACGGACCTGTCCTCCCCAGCCCCCTCTCTCCAGGCTGCCGTTCTGCAGCACCAACCTCGGGACCTGAGGCCGAGCGCCAGGCGAGCATGGAAGGCAGGGTGCCCAGTCACCAACTGCTGTCCTGTGGGGTGCACATCGTGGTGGTGGGCCAACCCAGGGCACGCCTCCTCCCTGACTCCCTGGCGGTGGCACAAGGGAGGTGGAGGTCTGCAACTGACCCTTGACCAAAGCCTTGGGAGCTGGGCAAGCCCCACCCCAGCTCCTGGGCCTCTCCTGGTCAGCAAGCCAGCAGCCCAGGGAACGTAACAGAGGCCCAATCATCTGCTTAAGTTGATATTAATTACCAAATTCCAATTGACCTTTAGGCTAAAAATAGCCATTGTTGACACTTTTATGCGCCCTCCTCCAGGGTCTAGGACACGCCCACCTTTCCCTCTGCCCCCATCTCTGGCCCTGCAGGGAACACAGAGGCCGGGTCTACTGATGGGGAAGGGAGGGACCTGGGACACCAGCCCTTCCTGTTACTCCTGTAACATTTCAGACACAGCTTTCCGGACCAATTAAAGTTTAACTCAAGGCCCAAGTGCTCAGGCTTACACTTTAACCCAACCCAGTCAAAACACAAGGGGGCCGGGGACTTCCCCAGAGGTGGATGTCTCCTGGCTCTTCTCACGCCCCAGCTGGCCCTGCCACACGTGTGGACGGGGACGCAGACCACGCAGGAGCAGGCCTTGGGCACGACACAGGCATCCACATGTGCCTCAGGGGTGGGGGACATCCCACGGGGTCACCCTGTGCACACCTGGGACTGCCTTCACTCTCCCTCCCTGACCTGCAAGAGATGGGCTGAGGCTTGCTCCTGGACCGCTCTGGAAGGCTCTGGCAGCGCAGGGGTGGCAGGGCACTTTAAATGGAGCCTGTCCAGTTGTGTGAGAGGACACACCCAGTTCCAGTGCATCTGGGGGTGACTTACGCACCTCTAAGACACAGGCACGCTTTAGCGATGGATGCTGCACCAACGCCAATGAGAGGAAGTTCGGCCGCACTTGAGTTAACACTGCCTAGATCACCAAGTCTTAACTGCGAATCACATCAGACAAAGCCTTGAGGGGAAGCAGGGTGCACAGAGCACTGAGAAGGCGTGGGTTCCACAGTCAGGTGGTCTCACCGCCCCTGGGTGCGGCATCGGCTGGTTGCTGTTTCTTTCCACACACTAACTGAATCCTTTACCGCTACAGAAAATTAGTATGAAAAAGCATAGATGTTACCTTGGGAAAACATGCTTTCAGATTTATTCTACAGAACAGGCAAGCAAAAAAAAAAAAAAAAGGCTGAGGGTCCCCACACTAAACCATACGACATTCCTATCTAAGCCAGCACTGTGGGGACAGGGCTGCCTTCTGCCAACCCTCAGCCAACACGCCCTCTCATGCCCAACACCTTCACACACACACACACACACGTATCTTATTTCCTTCTCCGAGACACAGCTACAGCAAGCAGTGTGCACTGGTGGACTCCACGCCAGGCGAGCCCCAGTCCTCGGGTGGGTCTAACACAGCAGGCTGGAGCCCCAGCTCTTGATTTCCTGTTGCCCCGGGTCTGCACTAGCGGCAAGCAGAAGCCAGGAGCCAGAAGCTGGACTCAAACCCAGATACTCCAGTACAGGGCTGCTGGGCCACACCACATGCTGACCCCTAATGCATTCTTGAGAAACAATTTCATTCCCAGCACCACCCGCCAAGAAAAAAAAAAGGAAAGGGGAAAAAATATCCTCTTCCTATGACAAACCAAAAATCATACTTGTCCGCGTAAATACCTTTCCTTAAAGTGATGACTACATATTGGCAGCAGGCTTGTTATTGTTTTCTAGCCTTACAGTCTGCACATGACCACTTACAATTGTGCAACCTGGCTTGTACACATGAACGCAGCGGGCAACCAGCGGGCTCCACCCCTCGCGCTCATCCACCTATAGCCGCATGCTTTTCCCTGGAGACTTTCCTCTCTGTGACACAGGAAAAGTCCGTTTGCTGACGGACCCATGTGGGCTCCAGGCCTCCTGAGGGAGCTGACAGCAGCTGACCGACGGACGCCGGGGGACCTGACGTGCCTGGGTGGGGGCTCGGGGTGGTCAGCAAAACCCTTCAACACTCAGACCCAGGTCTGAACTCGGCCTCCCTGGCTTGAGGCCAAGTACAGGTGGAAGCCGAGGTGGACAAGGAGAGGGAGGAAGTGGGTCGAGGCCCTCAGATCTCTCACACCCCAGGCAGCATGGTGTAGAACCGCTTTTTCACCCGACACCCCAGAACTACACTAAAGAGCTTAGGGCTTCCCTCTCCAACACGAGGGGTCCAGAGACCCAGCAATGTGCTTAACTAACAAGTGAACCCTACACCCCTAAGGTGAGTGCAGCGCCAGCCCGGCCACCACGAGCACACGGCCACCTGGCAACCCGAATTTACAGAGAAAACTCTCGAAAGGCTACAGAAACAGCAGCCAGTGGGCAGCTACTGCCCTGTGCAGTCGGTGGCTGTCTTCATCTTAAAACGCCTCCTCTCTCTCAGGCACCTGCCGAGGCAGCAGCTTCATGAACTACTTCCTGGCTGGCTGGCTTCTCTATCAGCCAGGCCCGCATGGCAAGGGGCAGTGACCACTGGGTAGCCAAGCGCAGCCCAGCCCCAGCCCTCCCAGGAGAGGTTCCTTGGAGACACCCAGCTTCTCCAAGATCTAGCATCTGATACCAAAAAAGAAAAAAAAAAAAAAAAGCCACTGGAAGCACATTTTGAAAGTTGCACGCTTAAAAAGATCCTTGTTCATTGATATTTGGTGGGGTAATTAAGCTAATCTAAACAAGGGGACCTTGTCTAGCCAGTGAGTGGGGGAGGAGCCACAGCCCTGGCTGGGCTGCAAACCAGACTCCTGTACCCCCCAGGGGCTCTGACCACGCCTATCACCCACTGGGGGGCTCTGTACCCAACCCCTCGCCCTCAGTGCTTCCCGGCCTGGGGTCTCCCCCTGCCACAACCACGGGGTCACCACAAAGGTTCCAGAGACAAACCTGAAGAACCACAGCAGGCGAGCCCGCAGCCATGCCCGCGCCCATCCTTGGCAGAAAGCGGGCTTCCAGCACATTCCAGCTCCACAAATTACAGACATGGCCGTGCCAGGGGTGTTCGTGAGGAGGGCATGGGCAGTGTGGACTGTCTGCCACCTACCGCGGTGGGCCTTCAAGCAGTCAGTCGCAAGCCTTCCCCCTCCCCGCTTCCCAACACACACTCACCATCCTGGGCCTGGGAAGAGGCATTGCACAGAAAGGTGTGGCAGTCGGCCCTCAGTGCTGTCCGTCCACGCCCTGCCCACCTCCCCTAGCAACAGGGATCCAAACCAGCTGGGCGCCAAATGACCTGGCCCTGCCCGGGCTGCTCTCGCTGGCCCAGCAGCCACTGCCGCAGCCGCCCCTCCCCCACGGCCCCGGCCCGCCAATAAGCAAAGTTGGAGAGGCACAGTGCAGACCACGATCCGCTTCTGCGATGCGGCAAGGGCCAAAGCTGCGGCACACAGGGTTCCCGCACAGGAAGTGGAGAGCCCCCCCTGGGCCCTGGGCGCCAGCCAGGTGCCAGCGCCGCCGCCGCCACCACCAAGGTCACCTGGCCCACAGGAACGAACCCAGGCGCTTCAAACACTCCAATCCCTGCCTCTACAGCCCCAGCAGGCACAAGATCTATCTTGCAGGAGACTGATGTCCCAGATTCTGGGTTTGACCCAGGGCCCCCAGGCACTTGCCCCAGGGCCCCCCACCCCTCCATCACAGCAACCTCTCCGCAGCATTGGGTCCAACTGCACACTCCTTCACTCCCAGGCTGCAGACCCAGGAGGGCAGGGGGAGTATTTGCACTTGTCGGGGCGGTGTGCGGGGGTGCTCTGGGCTCTCACAGTCACCCACTTACCCAAGCCTACCCAGATTGCCACTGCACCCTACCTGGAGCATAAGGCCAGGCCAGTCGGCGACCAGCGCCCTCCAAGGCATCTACTCCCACCCCAGCCAGCTCACCAACCAGCCTCCCTGGGGCCCCAGTCCCAGGGCTGCGGGACCAGGGAGGCCCCGGCCAGGAACCTACAGCCACACTCCATCCGCAGCCTCCCCGGCAGAGACACACCGAAGCCCGCTCCTGCCTGCCCCCTCCTTCTGGACACCTCAGGCCCTCCTGGGGGCTGTCCCGTCTGAACGCAGCTCCGCACAGGACTCAGGCCCGAGGGGCAGAACCCACCCCCTTGCAGAAGAACGGGTTAATCGGAGAGGCGCGCGTGCACTGGAGGGCGGCGTTAGGGAGTGGGGGCTCCTCCGCAGCCCGGGCTCTGCAGCAGGGGCAAGGTGGGCCTCAGGAGACAGGGCTCTGCAGAGCCCCAGCAGGGAGGCCCGGGCGCTAAGGCAGGCCCCGAGGTGTGCGGCCGGGGCGCCCGCGGACGCGGGAAGTGTGCAGGGTCGGGGCGGTCCAGGCTCCAGTCCGCCAAGTTAGAGCCGGGGGGCCGGGACGGCCTGCGGCTGCTCCCCTGCAGGGGCGGCGCGCCGGGGGCCGAGTCCGGAGCCGGTGCGCGGCCCGCGGAGCTGCGGGCTGGGGCCGGGCGGGGGCAGGTGCAGCCCCGGGCACCGGAGGGCGGCCGGCGCGCGGGTGGGGGCGGGGAGCAGCAGGTGCCCGGGCCGGCACAGCCCAGGTGCGGGGTCCGCGGGGCGGCGGCGGGGCCGGGCGCGGCCGCTCACCTGTCTCCTCGGGCCGGGGCTCCGGCGAGGGGGAGCCGTGGGGCGGCCGGGGCCGGGGCCGGGGGCGCGGGGGGCGCGGGCGGCGCGGCGTGGGGAGGGGCGGGGGCGGCGGCGGGCTGCTCCCTCGGCCGGCCGGCCGGGCGCGCCGTCAGTCAGTCAGTCAGCGACGCGGGCGCGGACAGAGCGCGGCGAGGCTGCGGCCGGCGCGCGGGGACAACGCCGCTTTATCGGGTCGGAAACAGCCGCTCGTCGCCGCTTCCGCTGACGCAGCGCCGGCCCCTGCGCCTCATGACTATGCAGCAGCCGCCGCGGCCGCGGGGCGGAGCCGGAGGCGGGGCCCGCCCCGCGCCCTCCCATTGGCTGCCGCCGCCCGGCCCCGCCCGCGGAGCCCCGCCCCCGCGCCGGCCCCGCCCCCGCGCCCTGCGGTCCCCCGGCCCGGTGGGGGGCGCCCCCACTCCGCCCCGGGGCCCCCAGGAAGGCGTCCCCCGCGCGCCCCCGGCCCTTCCGTCTCCCCGCCGACGGAGGGGTGGGCGAGCTGCGCCCCAGCGCCCCGAGCCGCGGCGAGGCCAGGTGGCTCTGCCCCAGGTGCTGCAGCCCCCTCCCCAGCCGCGGGCACTGTCCCGCCTCCCCCTGCTTCCCAGCCGGGCACTGCCCCAGCCCGCGGCCAGCTCCTGCAGCCGACCCGGAGGCCGGGGGAGAGGGCTGCGAGGCATGGACTGCCGCAGCTCCCAGGACCTTGCTGCCCCGCCCCGCGTCCCGCAGAGACCCCCCAGGAGCCTGAGTACGGAGCAGCAGGGGGAGCTGTGGGTTGCACGGCCTCCTCCCTGGAATCCGACAGTAGCAAGTGTTGGCACGGCAGCGGAGCCACTGGAACTCCAGGGCTAGAAGCGGTGCAGGCGCCTTGGGGCCGCCCCTCAAGTCCTTGGTGCCCACAGCTCCAGCCCAGGACGCATCCGCTAACGCCTCTCCATCCCCAACGCCGCTGTTCATGGCAGCCCGTTGTAGGGTGACTCTACCTGGAAATTGCAACTACCGGTGCAGGTGACCCCCACAGGGTGACAGGAATGTGTGTGTGTGTGTGTGTGTGTGTGTGTGTGTGTGTGTGTGTGTGTGTGTGTGTGTGTGTGTGTGTGTGTGTGTGTGTGTGTGTGTGTAGGGAAGGCAGGGCAGGGCACCCGGAAGGGAGGAGTGTCGGGACCAGGTGGGGGCTGCTTGCACCCCATCCATACTCCATGGGGTTTTCTCAGTGTGTGTGCAACCCCTCAGGAGAGGCTGGTCGGACAGAGCCCACCCACACCTCACCCGTGCCTTAACCTGGCTGGAAATGGCCCCGTGGTTGTGAGGCCACAGCTGCATGCTGACGGCATGGCACTAGGGCGTCTGCTGTGTCCCTGCTGACTGCAGGGCCCCTGGGGTGGGTGTGGGGGCTGTGGCCACTGCACAGCCTCCTGCTGGCTCTTGGGAAAGCACGGAGTAGTCGGAAGTGTGGATGGTTTCCACCCTATCATGAAAACACCACGCTGGTAGGGACCTTCCATCTTACCTTGTGGCCAGAGGACTTGGCAGTTGAGCTTAATTGCTCGCTAATTGCCAGTGCTGCTTGGCTCATTCGTTTGCATTCATTTGCTAGCATGTGCCCCCGAGTGCCTCGCTGGACTCAGAGGTCGGGCTGGGAACATGATCCAGGCCCCTCTCCTTACTGATCCCACCATGGGCCGGCCGTTTCGACCCAGTGAGGGGTGGCTCTCCCATACATCAGGCTTCTTGTGAGCAATGTTTAGGAGATCCTGAGAGAGCGAGGATTGAATTCCGTAAGCCAGAGTTACTCACAGAGATCAGACGGAGCGGGGCCACAGCAAACGCATCTGCACGGTGCCGTGTTCCCCGTGCTGTGTGTGCTGCGTCTCCGCACAGCCCAGCTGCTCAGGGCCTCTCCCCAGCTGCCACTCACACAGAAGGGGGCGAAAGACTTGTGTGGTCTGTGGTCCTGCTTCTCCCCGATGCAGCCCCTTCGGGAGTGGTGAGCCCCGCATCTTGGGAGGAACAAGCCTGGCTCAGAGAAGCCCTCTTGTCCAGAACCAGAAGATGTAGACGATGGCCTGGCTACAACCCAGGGCAAAACTGGGCCCTCAGCTGCTGTGGGCAGTGCCCTGCGCCTGGCTGAGCAGTGTTGCCCCATCTTAAGGGCTCCCACAGACAGGGCAGCGAATCTGTGTCCTTCCTTTGTAAGCGTGTCCACCACCTGGGTGCCTGGGAGGAGCCAGCATGCTGGTACGTTTAGGTCTGCTCTCCAGCTCACATGTGGGCATTTCAGAGCAAGGCTGCATCCCTCTCCACCATGGTCCTCGGGTGGGCACACATTCCCCTCAGTCAGGTGTCACCTGCAGATGGACAGCTGGGACACAAGAGGTGTCCTGCACCTGCTGGAAGGTGGCAGAGCCAGGAGTTTCACCTGGGCTCCATCTGGTCGGGTGTCAGTTGCCTAGGTTTATAGATGAGTGAACGACGCCCACCAAGGTACTTCTTTGCCCTTGCTCTGCATCCTTCCCTCCCTGCCCTCTGCACACTTCATATCCAACACCCCTTTTGCTCACAGAGGCGCTGAGGTCTGGGGGGAAGACCTGGAGCTGCAGGACGGGGGAAGGGTGCAAGGTGGAGCCAGCCTGCCCCGTACCTCTCATGTCTCCCTGGCTGGCTAACCGTCCACTTCTGGAACTTGGGGCCTGCCATGTTCTCTTTCAGGAGCGTCTCTACCACGACCCTGCCAAGGCAATGTCTGATAAGCAATGACTTTTAGCATCCAGGGTTCTGGACAGGAAGGAGGTGATCGCATGCTGGCCTGGCACCAAGAAATTCACCCATCCCTTTTATTTATTTTTTTAAAAAGATTTATTTTTTATTATTTTTTTATTGGAAAGGCGGATATACAGAGAGGAGAGACAGAGAGGAAGATCTTCCGTCCGATGATTCACTCCCCAAGTGAGCGCAATGGGCCGATACTATGCCAATCCGAAGCCAGGAGCCTCTTCCGGGTCTCCCACGCGGGTGCAGGTTCCCAAAGCTTTGGGCCGTCCTCGACTGCTTTCCCAGGCCACAGGCAGGGAGCTGGAAGGGAAGCAGGGCTGCCGGGATTAGAACCGGCGCCCATATGGGATCCCGGGCGTGCAAGGCGAGGACCTTTAACCACTTGCGCCACCGCGCCGGGCCCCCATCCCTTTTATTTTAAAAAGGCTTTTTTATCTGAACTTCAGAGTTACAGAGAGAGAGGGCGAGAGACAGAGATCTGTGTTTTAGTTCATTCCACAGATGGCTGCTGTGGCCAGTCCTGGGTCAGGCCAAAGCTAGGAGCTTCATCTGGGTCTCCCACTTGGGGTGCAGGGGTCCAAATACTCGGGTCATCTTGCTGTGCTTTCCCAGGCACATCAGCAGGGAGCTGGATCAGAAGTGGGTCAGCTGCCATAAAGGATGCTTGCACAGGTGGCAGCTTCACCCAGTGCACAAGTTATAGAGGGAGAGAGATTTTCAGCCCTTGGTTCACTCTGCAGAAAGCTACAATAGCCAACACAGGGTCATGAAGCCAGGAGCCGGGAGCTTCATCTGGATCTCCAGACGGTTGGATCCACATAGGGATGCTGGAGTTGCATATAGCAGTTTTGCTCACTACCTCACAGGGCCAGTCCCAGCCCCACTTTTTTTTTAAAGGCTTTTATTGGAAAGGCAGATCAGATTTAATGGAGAGAAGGAGAGACAAACAGATCTTCCATCGCTGGTTCACTCCCCATATGGTCACAATGGCTGGAACTGAACTGATCCGAAGCCAGGAGCCAGAAGCTTCTTTCAGATCTCACATGTGGATGCAGGGTCCAAAAAAGGCCACCTCGACTGCTTCCCCAGGCCACAAGCAGTTAGCTGGAAGTGCAGCAGCTGGGACACGGACTGGTACTTATACAGGATCCTGGCTTTTGCAAGATGAGGATTTAGCCACTGAGCCATTGTGCCATCTCCCCCCCTCCTTTAAAAACAAGTACAGAACTGCAATCCATCAGCTAGCTAGCCGATGTACACCTGCTGTTCACCTGCTCTGAACCAACTCCGCTCACTGCTCCCCACTCACCTGGTGCTGCTGTCCGTACTGGCCCTGGTCCTGTGCACCTGATTCTGTGTCTGTGGGGCCAGAGAGTGGAGAGAGGGAGGGACAGAGTCCCTGCTTCATGACCTGGGGGAGGGGAGCAGCCTCCTGGAGTGCAGTTGGTGGGGCCAGGCCCTGTAGGATCCACATGTCTAGCAAGGCCATGCCTTCAACTGCCTCCTCCCCGACAGGAGCGTGCTTGTCAGAGTGTAGCCCCTGGGGTCAAGTTCAGACGCCCAGTGGGACTCTCAGGCCCAGGGCTTCCTGGGATCACACAGCCCCCACCCGGGTTACGTAGCTCCCTGAGCACCTACAGTCGCGGAGGCACTGAGGCACAGAAAGGGGAGGGGGTGTGAGCGTGTTTGGCACCAGCTATGCCTTTCTCCCCTGTCTTATGCTGTATGGTTAAATACATGCATAAAGAAGCAATGAACTGGTACCTGCTTGGTCTTGGTGCCTTGGATTAAGTTCTCTCCTAAAAAATGAGGGTGGGAGTAGGTCTTGGCGATGCATGACGGACTGTGCACACGTGTGTATATGTTGGGAAGGGGGTAATTGGGGACTAGAAGGGTGAGCCCATTGGGCTTGTGCTGCCTGAGCTGGGTGATTACGGACAGTGTGCACAAGGCACACGGAGCAGCCTGGGAATTCCTGAAGACTGCCTTTCTGCTTGTCCCCACTTGGCGTCTGCGACCGGAACACCTGGGTGTCCTGCTGGGGTTGCAAGGCCCACGGGAGAGCTTTGTAGCCACTGTGGTCCTGGTGTCCTGGGGAGCCGCTGGAGGGTCCACCGAGCCTGAAAGTAGGTGCACACAAATCCCCAATCTGCTTGGCATGTGTGGTCATTTCCAAGCCTGGCAGAAAGGGGGCGCTGGGGCCCAGTAGGACAACTAGGTGTGCGCCAGGGCCCAGATGCCGGCACTCCT